CATTTGTTACATTGCATCAACCAATATTGATAATCATAATTAACTAAAGTCTATAGTTTACATTAAGGGTTCCATCTTTTATCTTTTTTTCTTTTTTAACAATTCTGTGGGTTTTTATTGCACGGTGTCATGAGTCCCCAATACAGTATCATATGTAATAGTTTCACTGCTGCAAACTCCCTGCGCTTCACGAATCCATCCCTCCTTTCCCTCCTTCACCCTTGGCAACCACTGATCATCTGACTCTATCTTTTTGGCTTTCTCAGAATGTCCTGCAGTTGGAATGACAGGGTATGTAGGTTTTCAGACTGGCTTCTTTCAAGCGTTATCAATTGAACATTCCTTTGGGTCTTTGCATGGCTTGATAACTCATTTCTTTTCATCACTGACTAGCCTTCCAGTGTATGGACACAGCACAATATTGTTTATCCATTCATTGTTGAGAAGGACATCTTGGTTACTTCTAGTTTTTGATGAGAATAAATAAAACTGCTGTAAATATTTGTGTGCAGGTTTTCGAGTGAACATGAGTTTTCCTCTCATTTGGCTAATCAAACTGCCACTGTGAGATTATATAGCAAGCCTATGTTTCGCTTTAAAAAACAAAAAGAAAAACAAAACCCCAAACTGTTTTCCAAAGTGATTGTACCATTTTGCATTTCTACCAACAATCAATGAGGCCGGGCACGGTGGCTCAAGCCTGTAATCCCAGCACTGTGGGAGGCCGAGGCGGGTGGATCACGAGATCAAGAGATCGAGACCATCCTGGTCAACATGGTGAAACCCCGTCTCTACTAAAACTACAAAAAATTAGCTGGGCATGGTGGCACGTGCCTGTAGTCCCAGCGACTCAGGAGGCTTGGGCAGGAGAATTGCCTGAACCCGGGAGGCGGAGGTTGTGGTGAGCCAAGATCGTGCCATTGCACTCCATCCTGGGTAACAAGAGCGAAACTCTGTCTCAAAAAAAAAAAAAAAACAATCAATGAGATCTCCTGTAGCTCTGCGTGTGTGACAGCGTTTGAGATTGTCACTTTCTACAGATTTTAGCCATTGTAATAGGTGTGATCTGTTATCTCATTGTTTTCACAAGCAATTTTCTAATGACAAATGACTTTGAGTTGCTCTTTCATATACATATTGCTACCTGTATATCTTTTGGGC